GTTTTCCATTGTATATCGGTGCGTTTCTATTGAATAATGAATTCGACATTCAGGATGAATGGTACGGTATACTATTTGTGATGAGTATCTCATGAGACACGTGACGTGATCTCCTTCATCCCCTGCTTCATAACGGAACCCACCTCCAAAGACACCAATGTAAGGGACCATTTTTTGGCTCACTCAGCGGTTGAGACTAGTAGGATCAAACCCATATCCTATCTTGTACGTCATTAATGTAGTCTCGCCTCTTTACCAACTGAACTATATGATAACAGCATACGTGTGTGTGTGTGTGTATATATATATATATATATATATATGAAGAAGGGGGGAAAAGAATAGAAGAATAAGGGAAAGCAATATTTTTTCATTGGCAACAGATGTCTACTTCTGAAGAGTGGTTGGAATTATCGAGGGGTAATGAAGAAGAGTGGTTTATATTTCTAGGGATATGGTTTCTGATGATGTCGGGTACGGTATGCTCCAAAACTTGGATCCTAGTGGATATGGAGCATAATGAGTACAAACGGGTACACACGTGTAAAAATGGCCAAGTATTATAAGTTTTATCATTTTGAATATTTATTACCAGAAATCACATAAATCATCAAAATACATTAAAATATTAATAAAATAATCACATTTTATGTATTTATTAAAATAGACGGTACTTTCGTTAATCGGCAAATTTCTGATTTTTGTCATAAAAATGAGTCTCACATGTTATAAAAAGTCGATAAATATATGGTATTTCATAGGCTAATACAGTGACACGAGTCACCGTCGTTTGGGAAAAAATTACATTTCTAAAGGATGGGATCTATTGTTTTGTTGGGTGCCAGCATATGGTTTTTGAAACTGAAGTTTTAATGTAAGTTTTAAATGATAAAGTTGGTAAATGTTGATCACTTTGTATGAAAACCCATGTTTGAGTCCCACCAATAGCAAATGGTGTCACCATCCTGAAAATTTTCTTGATCCACCTCTGGTTTACAAGTTCAAAGTAAGATTTTCGGTCCTTGTTGTGCCTCTTACAAGGTAAGATTCTTGATCATTGGCAAAAGTTTGGTAAACGGTCCTAACCCATGGGTACATTATGGATATACACATGCATTATGCAGTTGGGTACTGATTTATATGCATAAAAAGCGTTTAGAAACAGCTCAAAGGCAAATTCGATCATGCATCTGGGATTGGATCTGCAACAACGGCTAATTATTCAAGTTTTACGTGTTTTAAAGAGATGCAGAAACAAGCTCGAATCGGAAGAACAACTATGAACCATAAAGCATGATAATTTTATACGATCTTCCTCATTCCTCACAGATCCATGAAGGAAGGTGATGCCAACAAGTTAGTTAACCAAAGATGAAGGTTTTTGGAATATGTGGAACCCCATGCATACCCATCGAGGAGAGAAACGAGTTTTCAACACGAGATCAAATGGTCAAAGTCCAGCCGATATATCGTTTAGGATCTCCACTCTTTAGAGGTGCATAAGCAATCGGAATTTGAAGGAACCCGAAATGAAATTCAATCATATTTAACCATGAATTTTTTATGAGGAAATAAAATGGAATATGTCAAAAGAATTTAAATCTGACTGTGTTGGTTCCGTGGATATAATTAATAGTGGTGGTGGCATCAACGGTAGTGGTAATTGAGCTCTGAGATTCTAACCCCAAATTCATGACTTATAAATCAAAATCCGAACAAAATTCACATTAAACTTTGAACTTATTGAGCTTTGAGATTCTAACGATGTTTACTAAAAGCTTACTCGGTAGGTGTTTACCGAACAATTTTCCTCACCGGACGAACATGACAAGACCCAAGAATCTTACCTGGTAAGAGCGATAATAAGGATAAAGAGTCTTACCTGGTAAGTGAGGCTGACGACTCTTACCCGGGTAAGCCCTTACCAGATATATTGTTGCATAGAATACTATTTTGATATACTACTATCTTACCCAAATAATAAATTATAATGTTGGTTTCTAACAGTAAGCACTTATCGGGTAAGCATTTAGGTAAACAGTCCCTTTATCTCGAATTCCATACTCCTAATTTAGGGTACTCATGGATTGAGTTGATCGGGTTGAAAACATTTGAATAACCTAACCCAATGCTTGCGGTTTGGAAAAATCTTAACCCAACTCAACCCAATCCAAAGTGCAACCCAACCCAACCCGTACGGGTTGGTCGGGTTGATATTTTGGTATATTAAAATATTCTTCTAACCTTAAATATGTTATTTCTCTACTCATAATTTCTTTTTCATCATCAACCATTTGATACAACTTATCCATATTTCTTACGTATATCACATTTAGCTAATTTTCTCAATTTACATATATATGTTCACAATCATTGAACATATATATGAATGAGCTATATAGAGATGTGAATAGATCAAAAATGTGTATTTGAAAAGCATACATGATAGTGCAATTGTCTAATGTATATATTAACATAAATTCAACAATCATAGTAAATCCAAGAAATAAAAATATATCGGGTTCATCGGGTTGGGTTGGGTTCAAACAATAGTAACCCAATATCAACCCAATACCTACGGTTTGACAATTTTACAACTCGATTAGACATCGAGTTGTTTCGGATTGGGTTATTTCGCGTTGGGTTGGGTTGGTCGGGTTTTTGAGCACCCCTACTCCTAATTCTCACTCAATGTTAAAACATGAAACCAATTTTGTCAATTACTTCCCATTCATAGCTGCTCGAAATACCAAAATATACGATATGAAAAGTCGGTTACAATTTCTTAATTAACTCCTACAATTATTAAACCGTTGACATTTTAAACAAAGATGTCGTTGTAGTATAGTGGTAAGTATTCCCGCCTGTCACGCGGGTGACCCGGGTTCGATCCCCGGCAGCGGCGTTTTAATTTTTTTTTATTTAAACCGGAATTCTACGGTTCGGTTCGATGGTAATTTTAATATCAGTATTTTCAAGGAATAATGTGAATTTATTAAGTTTAAATTTACGTTTGACGATTTTTTATTTCATTTTTAAATCTATTATTATATTATTTTCTCATTACTTTATATGATAATTATTTTACGATGTAAACGAGGTGTTTGAAATTGTTTATTTGAAACAACTTATGGTTTTATACGAAAGTCCTTATCAACTTATTATAAGTTAGAATGATTTAACTTCTTCAAAAACACCTTATTACCAGTTTTGCACCGGTATAAAATGTTTATCTAAACACTCAAAAGTGTTTATTACCGGTACTACACCGGAATATGTCAATAAGTTGTTTTTATAAACAATCCTAAACACCCCCAAAGTGCAAACATAAAATTTTGTAAATGGTGTTTATGATTATATTTATAGAGAAAGTTTCAAATAAAAACGATTTCATTCGTACAAACCAATCTCAATTGTTTATCTAATATAATAAATATATGGTTTTATAAATATCTTAGAGGCTGTTTACTAATCTCTTACCACTTCTTATCCGTTAAGAGATGCTTACCCGGGTAAGAGGTAAAAGTGTTTACCTAACAACAAATCAACAATCAGATTTTCGACATCTGACCGTCCTCTTACTGGAGTCAGCAAAAAAAATGAATCTYACCATGATAAGAGGTATATATTCCTAATCTACCCTCTTCATCTAAAACCCTAAATAGATGCATCTTTCTTTATACAAACAGGTGGGTCGTGTCTGATTCAAGGTGGGGAAGCGTCGATGGCTATGTCCAGTTCAAGGTGTTGAAGGGTGACGGGAGAGCGGCGACTGGAGGGCGGCGACGGAAGGCGTCGACGGGAGGCGGCGATGGTGGCTGGTCTGGAGGTGGGAGAGAAAAGTTTCAGGTTGAGAAAAATAGGGTTTTGAGGTTTTTGAGTGAAAAAGAAATACATATAGATTAATATAATTGGGCTTAAATGTATATGGGCTGATATGGGCCAGTTTTTTTAATTTTATTCAAATATAATTATGTTTAAATAATACAATAATTTTTAATTAATACTTATTCCAAAAAAAAAAAAGAGGATATAATGGTCTTTTTTACTCAATCAGCACTTAACACAAAATGTTTGGTAAACAAGAAAATACAATTTGCATTTAATCCAGTCAGACCTCTTATCACAGTCAGACCTCTTACCCGAATCAGCACTTAACCAAAAAAATTGGTAAACGGCCCCTTAATTACTTTCTTATATAAAGGTTTGATCATAATAAATAAATATTTTTATAAATATCTCAATTTATTGGTTTGTATATAAAACACCCTCTATAGATATATTACATCTTATTAAATATTTTTTAAATTATATGTCAGTTATGTATATTATATTTATTCTTTCTAAAATATAAAATATTTTTTGTTATTCATTTCAAAATTTATTTATACACAATAATTAAAGCTATTAAACGGTTAATGTAGAGACAAATCAAGCTGGTGTATGAAATTGATCTTCAAGTGGGCATCGAAAGTAATCAAAGAAAGATAAATCTGTTAAAACCGATCAAAGTCTAGAAGATATTGAATCCTTTCCCGTGTTCATGATTTTAGAGATGCTGGAGTTTGGGGTGATGTATTCTAATGAAGTCGGTGAGAAGAAATTCTTGAGATTCAAAGATCTTTCGGCATATTCAGACGGTACATTGAAACTGATCAAACCGAGGTTGTCGAACAAGTTAGATTTGGACATAAGAGGTCTTGACAAGCTTGATTCTCACGATAAAAGGCTGATGATTAGAGCCATTGATCAAATTTCTGAAAAGCTTGAGTACAGAAGAATGCCCTGAAGATTTGACGCTTTTCTTGGCCTCCGTTCAAGGCGGAGAAGATTTACGTGTGTTAATTTTATTGGTAGGATAAGAATGAGAAGTGATTTATATCACATGCGTAACATCGTTTTTCAAATTGTGTAGCTCTACACACATTCTTTATGGACTCTCGTACATCGTAAAACTAACGTTGTTTTAGGTCTTGTACAAATAAACACAACAGTACGAATACTAATTAATTCTCGTCTATTCTGAAACATAAATAAAAGATGGAACGATCAAAAACGTTCTAAAAGATCTGAAAACTCATGTAACTGATCTTGATATGTTCCAAATAATTAATCGTACTTAGTTTTCTTTTCTCATTTTCAAACAAATATCTAATCAAACAATCGTTTACTATTTGAAAAGACTTATAAAAACGTGACAAAAATTTATGCCGTTTCATTTTTCTTCTCAACGAGTTTTTCGATAAGATCAGCTGCTTCTTGAACAGTGGTAATGTTTTGAGAGTTCTCTTCTTCGACACTGATGCCAAATTCTTCTTCTAATGTCATCACTATTTCGACCTGCATTTATCCAAATACCTCAAATCCCATTTATTCGAGTTCTTTAATTAAAATAAACTACCAATGGAATCAACGATCATGTACGTATTCATGAAGCATAGACCATAATCATGCGTTTTTAACAACATTATTCACATCCTGTTTTTCTTTCTAAACACAAATGAAGAAAACTTACCGTGTCGAGCGAATCGGCACCAAGGGCGGAAAATTTAGAGTCGGGTGCAACCTCAGAGTCGGCAGACAATGCTAACTGAGTCTTAACAATTTCACAAACTTTGGTCACTGTCTCCGGCTTTGCCTACAAAATTTTTATGATTTATGGATAATATCGATTTAATATATAGATGTAGATACAAACATGTGTATACGTGGATAGTAAAATGAAATAGGAAGGAAACTTACCGCGCAGGCGATTTGAAAGCGTGACGATCTCAAGCAAGGGAAACCACGTTCGATCCGACCCATGGGAACTATCATGAACGTCGAGTTTTTCCGAACTATCTGCAAAGTATAAAATTGAAAAGTTTTAGGTTAAAAACCATGTAAATGATAACATCCTATAAACGAATCAAATAAAATATTTATAGAAATGATGAATGTTCTATTATGATTTAAATATTTTATGGAAGATTATTGTAGTTCATTAATCATTATCTTTGCTTTATATTAGGAAACAGTTGACACATTTATGAAACCAGATATTTGTTAGACGAAATGAACAGTTGAGATTGGTTTGTATTTGATTTGTCTTTTATATATGATTGCAAATCTTATATGTTGATGTTGAAATTGATTACGGTAACTCAAAACAAGATTAAAAGTGTAGGTGGTTAAACCGACAAAATAAATAGTGTCTGGTGGATTGTAATTAGGGGTGCTCATGAGTTGTGTTGATCGGGTTGAAGACTTTTGAACAACTCAACCCAATGTTTGTGGTTTGAAAAATCTCAACCCAACCCAATCAAAACCAAAGTGCAACCCAACCCAACCCGTACGGGTTGGTCGGGTTGATACTTTGATACATTAAAATATTATTCTAACCTTGAATATATTATTTCTCTACTCATAATTTCTTTTTCATCATCGACCATTTGATACAACTTATCCATATTTCTTACGTATATTACATTCAGTTAATTTTCTCAATTTACATATATATGTTCACAGTTACTGAACATATATATGAATGAGTTATATAAAGATGTGAATAGATTGAAAATATTTGTATATGAAAAACATACATGATAGTATAATTGTATATATTAATAGAAATTCAACAATCATATTAAATCCAAAAAATAAAAGATACCGGGTTCATCGGGTTGGGTTGAGTTCAAATAATAATAACCCAATATCAACTCAATATCTACGGTTTGACAATTTTACAACTTGATTAGACATCGGGTTATTTCGCGTTGGGTTGGGTTGGATTGATCAGGTTGATCGGATTTTTAAGCACCCCTAATTGTAAGAACCTCATTTTAGCACCTTTTTTGTCACACTATTTCCAACTCAACAAATTAAGAATTTACATAAAAATCCATAGTGATAGCTTTTATAAGAATCCTTTATGTGGGTCTCATGTCTTGTTTTCAACAGCAATATTATATCTTAATACGAATTAATAATTATAAAATCAAGAAAATATATAAAATGTCACTTCATACCAACTTCAAAGTAAAAACCAAGATTCTTGTACAAGAACACAAAGGATATGAGGTTTTTATAAAAGGTATCTTCAACAACAGTTCTTACAAGAACCAACATTTCTTACTTATAGAAACAATCCATTAAAGATGCTATAATCGCTCTGTGGTCACTTTTTTCTCTCGGTTTTTCGAATAATTTCTTTACAACATTGAAAAGATGCATCCAAATCGAGTACAACTTGACATCAGATCTTTACCCAACACTTTTAGATCATCTGCAAATATATTTTAGACGATGTTTATGAAGGCCAACAGACTATTCGTAAAGTTTTATTTAAACTGCTTGACTATAAAACGTTAAAATATACGGTTTGAATTAATTTACATAAAATTTGGTCAAAAATGATGCCGAAAATTGAAAAGTTTACTCTTATGTCTCCCAATTCATTTCTAAAACTTCAAAATCTCTACATAATATACGGGGAAATTGACTAAAATAGCAAATCTCCTCATCCTCGTTCACTGTTTAGCCACATTCTCATGTCAATTCGAAAACTACCAAACAGATGTTTAACGCATTTGTATAAACCGTATTTATCTAAGAAAAAATGGGTGTCTATATATATATATATATATATATATATATAATTTGCATGTGAAAAGTTACGAATCAGAAAGTCAAAATAAAGAAAAGTCAAAGATTTGACCTGGTTGTTGTGCATGGAAGTCGTCAACCTAACACAAGTCACTGGAACAGCAGCCATTTGGGGTGCGTCTGGTTGAAGAAGAAGAAGAAGAGAATTTTGTTGGAGAATTTGTGTGAGAATAATAAAACCAAGGCTGGGTGTTTGAAAGGATTCTGTGACGTTACGACGCCGTACTGGTCGAGTGGGAAATTTAATGGATGTCGTTTCCAGGAACGAGTGGTGTATGTCAACCTTATCCACTTCATCACCTTGACTACGTGGCGGATCATTCTGGTGCCCCACCCCGCAAGTTGGTAGGTCACGACGTCGTTTTTGGAAAAGCGAAAGGTGACGTGGAGTAAAAATTGTAATTAAATGGCTTCGCCCGGGTTCGAACCGGAGACCTTCAGTGTGTTAGACTGACGTGATAACCAACTACACCACGAAACCATGTTGACTATCCTTGATGTCTATTAAATATATTTGAGTTTCAATTTTCTTTTTTTGGTTTATTTTAATATTATATCGATAAATATTTGATGGGAAATTATGATTTTCAGTTGTTCATTTTATCTGTTTATATATTAATAAAATTACAATACAAATATAAATAAACGTAAACTGATAAGGGGCCTTGTCAAAGGCTTATAAAGTTATAAGCTCTCATTTACCTTATCGAGTGAATATAATAAGGACCGATAATATTATCTGATAAAAGGTATAAAAAGAACAAAATATCTTAGCCGATAAGTGAAGGAAAAGTCACTTATCTTGTATGTAACACCCTCATTTTCACTATGAGTTGTGTCACGTAATTTTCATTAAATAACAATAAATAACCCCAAAATATAGTGGCTAATAAAACCTTATTACAGCAGAAGTCTTACAAATTCCATTAAAATTAATAACTCAACGCTAACCCGTCCCATACCGAGTTACATTACAAAATGAGTTTAAGCATAACCTAACCATCCGAATTATAACAATAATATAATTATCTAGGAGAGAACCTCGCTCTTGTCCACCCTTGAACCTCTTGCACCTGAGATGCATATTAATAGTCAGCTTTATAAAGCTCGGTGAGTTCATGGTTTTTGTGCACAATCATACACACCTCATCATGCATAAAACAAACAATGCCCCAAATAAAATAATATGCACATTTGTTTCAAACCTTTTTGAAATAATAATGAGATCTCTTAATTTCCCGTCAAGTTAAGGTCTTACCGTCATCGGCACTTCCCCGGGTTACACGACTATCCCTTGTCCGGTCACCCATCCCTAGGATGTGTCATCCCTATGACTTTTGACCCTTTCCCATACCCGACAAAAATATTAACCCGTTTATAACATGCTCATTAATGTTTAAAAACACGTAAACAAATAACATGCAACCCACAATGATAATTCATATACATGTAATAAACTCATAAACATGTACATAAAAAATAATGTAATGCTCAAATAATTTTTACGTAAGCATGCATCTCAATTAAAATCTCATGAAGACTCACCTGAATAGCTCTGTTTGGCTAAACCTCATCCCTGAGTAATATCCTATAACATGTAATTATATTTCAATAATTAGAGTATTGACATTTCTCCAAAAAGTCAACCCGAAAATCAAATGGGTTAACCTTAGGGTGGGCATGGTCAACGGGTCAACCCCAAACATACCTCGTCGCCATATACCCCCCTCCCCAATGGAAAATTTCATATCCAAAATAAATAACGACGTATTAAATCCAACATTTAATTATATACGATTCTCGTTATAAAAACGTCCGATCCCACAATTATCTAGTCACAACTACCGAAATAAGTTATTAAATTATTTCTTATAATTTAAATATGAACTCCAATTAATTAATAACTTTTACAATTGATGTCCAAATTTTGACCAACTTAATCGAAACATCCCGATTTATTTTGATTAATCCAAGTAAATAAACGAGCCTCAAATCTCTTTTCAACAAAATCTTATATAAAATATTAATCCCAAATCGTATCCAAATTTACAGCCCCTACGGTTCAATATTAAACTCGTATTTTGAGTTTTTGTACCCGAATCTCGTCGAGCCGCCGCCACATCAGCTTCTAGCCTAAACCGCTCGACGTACAAGTCACCATAGCCCACGAGACTTGTACCAACAGAAAGGTAATTGAAAAACAAAGCCAACCATATATTATACATCAATTTTGGTTGAGTATTTTACCTCCAATCGTCGTTTTTGTGCGGAATGACCCTATGCCGCTTCAAACTCGATATCTCTCTCGTTTCTTGATGAAATTTCTAAATTCCAAAAACGTTTACTCCCTTACATCCTTAGGAATGTCTCCACAAAATTTCAGCCGAAAACTACAATTTATAGATGGTTAAACGGTATCTAGAATAGGAAAAACGTGAATTTGGAGAATGAATTCCCAAATCTCATCACTTTCAAATTAATTTTCTACTTTTGGCAGAAATAGTCCCTTTTGTTTTTCTTTCTGCATTTTCATCCCAAATCAATTAAATACAAAATGTTTTTTTTTATTGATTTTATTTATTGCAATAAAATCATATTTTTCGAGTATCGACACTGTAATCTCGTATGTCGTTTACTCTTTAAATTTTAACCCTTAACATTTATTTATTTTACGAATAATAAATTTTTAGGGTGTTACATTGTAAGCACTTATGAGATAAATAAAAAAACACTTACTAACAATCCATATTAATGACCAAAAATATTTAGGTAAATGAAGATGATATATTTGACTGATAAATATTTACCTAATAAACGTCTGGTAAACAACCATTTAATTTAAAAGCTAAAATGATCAAAAACTAAAGGAGTCCTATATTCCCTTGACAAGTTATATTATGTAATGTTATATAAATATCATCTGTTGTTAATTTTACTTGGTTTTTGGATTCTAATAAAAAATATTAAATGAATTAAAAAGTTTTATACGATCGTCAAATGAATGACTACTGGTTGGTCATTAGAAACGTAAAAGCCTTAAAGAATATCACTGATATTGTTAGAAAAAAGAACTAAAATATAATAAACCGCTCGTTACAAACATCAAGAGAAAAATTAACAACCCGTTAAATTTTATGTGGATTGTGTCTTTTTTGATTTGGTCGCTTTACAGGATATTCGTTGGATATATTGTCCCCTTATCCACTCTAATAATTGTACTCCTTTTATAGTAAAATCTATCCACAACTGATTTTCATAATTTTAAGTTCGTAAAATATGTATTTATGATAAATGCATTTCTTCCTACTTGTTATATGTATTTTACTTTACAGATTTTGTTCTTGTATTCATCAACATCAAACCCTTCTTTTTATATTCTTTAAACAAAATTTAATCTGATTTTGACCTAAAAAAGTTGCATATAACAACCCCTTAAAACATATAGTTATATAGTTTAATTTACTTAGGTAATTATCTGATTTTGATTATTAAAACTCACAATAATCACTTTGAAATACAGATTAATTTTTCGATTCAATTCCAAGGTTAATTAACTTCCTTTTGATGTATAATTTCAAAATGCATATTACTTCAAATGAAAAAAATTCACTTACGGGTTACTACATCATTTGGAATATTCGGAACCACACTGTGGGTGGTTTCTAGAAAACCTTCTCTAGATCGGGATTTATTATTCGATATTTAATTGGTTTCTTTTTGCTGGCTTTCTGCTCGTGGTAAGGATTTCAACTATTTTTGAATGGATTGATATTGCAACCAGATAAGTTAGTTGGGTTCTTGTTTGACAAAAAAAGTTTGCCCCTTAATGGTTTTAAAACCTTCAGTGAATTTGTATCTTAAGTCCCCTTAATCATTCAACACCTAATTTCAGTGTAAACAATTATCAAACAATTAGGGGGTGTTTGGTTCATGGAATTTGGTGGAATTAGAAGGAATTGGAATGTCCAAATCTTTGACCAAATTCCAAATCCCATGTTTGGTTCACATAATAGATGTGAATGAATCCTTCAAATTCCAACCAATTCCTTAATTCATTGAATTCACAATTCCACCGCATATACCACGGATTTCAAATTCCAATCCGACAAATTCCTTAGCCCTCATCCATTCATCGACGCTGTATCTTGATTTGCTCTGTTCTGCTATGCTCGATCTCGTTTAAAACTAAGAATGACAACGAGCCAGGTTCAGGCCAGTTATTGGTATCAACGTCCCAGAAACCGATAACTAAAATTGTCCCCATGACCGCCCTGATCCCCGTCGGGGATCTTATCGTGTCCCGCGGTTTCCCCGATCCCCGTTGGGGAATTCGTGAAGGTAAAAATCCTCTTTTTTCCGTTCACCGTTGGTTGTAACCGAACCCGAAACCGGAACCCGAAACAGATCTAAAAATCCCCGTTAAAATCTCCGAATTTAATATTATATATATATATATATAAATTAAACTTAATATATATATATATATACACGTATCAAGCCGGGGCGTGCCGATGATCACCATCCCAGCCGCCGTCTACGTTAAAATCCCCGAATTTGTCCCCGATCCCCACCCCGTCCCCGATAAGATGTCCCCGAACCTAGCCCGAAAGTTTCGGTTTCAGTTTTTTTTCCTGTAATTTTCTCGTTGAATTCCGTGAACGAAACAAAAAAAAATTCCAATTCGGTTAAGAATTACATTTCAATTCCATCCAACCAAACACAATCAAAAGACATGGTCAAATTCCATCAAATTCCATTCCATTCTCTCAAAGTCAAATTCATTTGATGAATTTCAATTCCACTTAATTTCATTCTATGAACTAATAGTAACTTATATTTTATTGTGAATTTTATATTCTGCATAAATAATTCAACAGACAATCCGAAGTAGAGAGGCGAAAGCCCAACCATAAACCCCTGCGAGGGAAACTGACGAATCCAAAAAAGAACTCATTGAGAGATGTGCACAGTGATTTCTGGAGCTTCAATTTCGTTTGTTCACAGAGAGTAGGAGCGTAGCGCTCTGCAAGGAGGAACAAAGCGCACAATCGTGGTAGTGTTAATGGATAACTCACGGCAGTCTGTGATCCCGATGTTCCTTTACTCGTCTTCCTCTTCCTCGAAGAATCTCATCCAGTTTGAGCTTTTGATTGCGAATCGATGGAATTCGTCTTCATTTCCGGAGTCTCCGAGTGAGGTAGGTAAGATGCAGGTGTTCTCGCCGGCTTATTACGCAGCCTGTAGCGTAGGTGGCATTTTTAGCTGTGGACTTACTCACATGGCGGTTACACCGCTCGATCTCGTCAAATGCAATATGCAGGTCGGTTTTTTTTATCTCAATATCTTAAACTAGGGCTTCAACAGCTCAGCACCGATTTGTAATTTGAATCATTGGTTGAAGTTATGGATATAATGAGTTCAAATCTTATTCGACGGTGTTTTTTATATTGCTCAATGTGATAATTATGGATTTAGAGTAGGTACATTCATGCGACGAACGCGACACGCATCAATTTAGCTAGTCAATTGCGGTTTTTCTAGTTGTTAATTAGGTTTTGTTTTTATTTAGTTATGCCTTATTACAAAACTGGTGATCTGCAATTGATATATAGATTTCCATCACGTAGCTTGATGTATCGTGCCTTGATGCGGCGTGTCGCTATTCTAGAAAGAAGTTGATTTCGCATGGCGTGATTGGAATAAACTCTTAATAACCTCAATCAGCCATTAATTAATGGCGTGATCGAAAAGCTAGAGGAAATTGAAGGATACTTAAAGATAAAATGAAGTGAGAGCATGGGAATCTACAATTAAGAAACTAATTAATTAACATTAGTTCAGTTTCCCGCTTATTTACACAACTAGAATTTAGTTAAAAACTAATTAATAAACAAATACGTAGAAATTACAATCTGATCCCTTATAAATTAATTATGCACAACTGAAGTCGCTAAATTCCTATTACAGGGATAAAAGAAGGAATAACAGCATTATGCCCCTGTTTAGTGTTGAGTTTTCTATGCTGTGCTGCAATGTTGTATAATTGTTCACCATAAGTTCTACATCTTCTAAGTTAGATATGAAAAATATAAACACGTGACACTAGAAAAGGGAAAATGGGTTTTGAGCGATCTAATTTAACTTATACGCCTCCTTTTGGTTGCTCGTATTCATATGTGATGTTAATAAACTATAACACTGCACTGTAAAAATTGGAATTGCTAAGGAAGGAAATCCATAATTTGAAAGAAATAACCATGTCACTTCTAAATTTGTATCCATGTTGTCCTTGTTGCACGGCTTAACAAAACTTCCCATGTACTGGATCTTCAGATAAACCCTGCAAAATACAATAGCATTTCTTCTGGTTTTGGAACGTTACTGAAGGAGCAGGGATTTAAAGGATTTTTTACAGGCTGGGTGCCAACCTTGCTAGGTTACAGTGCACAGGGTGCTTGCAAGTTTGGGTTTTATGAGTTTTTCAAGAAAACCTACTCTGACATTGCTGGTCCAGAGAATGCAGCCAAGTATAAAACACTGATCTACCTTGCTGGTTCGGCATCTGCTGAACTCATTGCCGACATTGCTCTTTGTCCTTTTGAGGCCATTAAGGTTCGTGTCCAAACAAATCCTGGATTTGCCAGGGGTTTATCAGATGGCTTCCCAAAGTTCATTAACGCTGAAGGCACTGCAGGGTAGGATCCTAGGATCTAACTAATTTTAGAGCAGTTATATGTCTATCTGACAGTTTACTTCTAATTTTTTTGCATAATCTCCAACAGGCTGTACAAGGGGCTGGCACCTCTTTGGGGGCGACAGATTCCATGTAAGTTGAGAGATCATAGAGTTCACAATTCACAGTTATTGCATTTAGGAAGTAAGTTTTATTCTCTTCAACAGAAATCATTTTCATACATTACAAGATGGCCAAGTGAACATTTGGAACGTCCCATAAACCCACTGCCTCCAGTGACGATTCTAAATTTTCCATCACGTACTGGAGGTTATCTAGATGCATTACAGGCTAATTATGATCATATTCTTTGTTTGGGGGAAATTATGTGCATTGCCATTTATGTCAATTGTTTATTGGAAGAGTTTGCAGATACAATGATGAAGTTTGCATCTTTTGAGACGATCGTGGAGATGCTATACAAGCATGCCATCCCCACACCAAAGGATCAATGTAGCAAAGGTTTGCAGCTCGGAGTGAGCTTCGCTGGTGGGTATGTCGCTGGTGTATTATGTGCCATCGTTTCTCATCCAGCTGATAATTTGGTTTCTTTCCTCAACAATTCCCAAGGGGCTACCGTCCACGATGTGAGTCATATCCACCTTATTTCTTATTATCTTCATTTTTTTACACATCTCTTCACATGTGAATTTGCTGCAGGCTGTGAAAAAGCTAGGTTTGTTGGGTCTCTTCACCCGGGGTCTTCCTCTTCGTATTTTCATGATCGGAACCCTTACTGGAGCACAGTGGGGCATCTATGATGCTTTCAAAGTTCTTGTTGGACTGTAAATTTCTTTCCCTCGACATTTTCAAAATTAATCTCCAAAAGGGAAGTGAAATAAATGTGTGCATATATTAGTAGGACAGTAAACAGGTTTCTTTATGTTGTTTGTAGGCCTACTACTGGTGGTGCTCCTCCTCTACCTGCAAAAGTGAATAGCCGCACAAACTAACAAAATTTAGTGATTCTAAGGCTTGGTTTTTGATGGATAAATAACATTTGGATTTAGGTTAGTGTAGGGATTTTTCCCAACTGGAATCATTTTTGTACAGGGTGTATCTCCCTTCATCTTGCTCATCAACCATCTAACGTCTGAGGTGTTCTGCAACGCATAATAATAAAACCCTCCTACTAATTCTGGTAAAGCAGATTTTTCTGAGGTATCCTTCTAATTTCTCTTTCATTTACCATATCTCTTGTTGCTTAATTTCTCTGTACTCTGCAGTAGAGATGGCATGTACTGGTGTTATTTTAGGAGCCGCTTACCCGACTAAGCGCTTATCGGTAAAATTCAACAAAATGTTATCGTATGCAAAAATTTACCCGGTAAGTGCTAACCGTGGAAAGGGTCGTCGCCCACACTTACCGAGTAAGACTCTCTGTCGTTGCCTTTGCTCTTATGGGGGAAGATTCTTGATCCTTGCCATATTCACCAGCTAAGGCAATGTGACTTGGTAAGTGCTTAACCGGGTAAGCGTTTGGTAAACGGTCCCTTAGAGAATTTAGAAAAAGTTTGCTTCAAGAGCTATACTAAACTCTTCTCTAAAATAGAAAAAGAATGAGAGAATGGAGAAATCTAAAAGAAAATATAGCATATTTGTTGGAGATGCTCTAAATCGTTGCGGTATAGTGAGTCCGGTTCTTAACCGGTCATTGTCAAAAAAACATGTAATGTAAGTGGCAAGGACGGGTTAAATGTTCTTATAGAACTTGTTAACACCGTTAGCCACAAGGACCAAAAGTGAAACAAAGTGCCAACAACATTCATCAAAAGTGTAATTAGTTAAAAGCATGAATTAGACTTGATAACGAGTGGTAATCACCAAAACAATAAATATAATTTACTATAATTTTTAACATATGTTGTATTGTTAAAAACGTTATTGAATGAAATAACAAATTATAAAATTCAATAACATACTTTAGCAAATTATACCTGTCTATATGACACACCAAGCACTTAAATTTTTAGCATAGTCATCATGGACCAATCCAACAACACGTTTGAGAACCAACATGTAATTTCCTATGTTCTTGATCCAGAGTAAAAGAAAAAAGAAGATGCTATTTTACGAATATTCCTTTATTTATATTACAACTGCTTGTAACTGATAGGTTGATATGTAATTTTATAATTTTTTTTAATTGTTATTATTTCTTTACTTTTCTTCCAGTATATCAGGAAAATATTGCGAGAAAAACCATCATATTTTTCTTCATTTCCCCCAAATAAACTCAAGTTGAGAACACAATCTTTTTTCTTTTTCTCCGACTTTCTTTCACTTTCACTTATAAAATTACTCTTTGTCTCAAAATAAATGTGTACATTTTTATCAGTGTTTGTCCCAAAATAAGGGGTTGTTTATCCAACACTTACCTTATAAGTGCTTATTGGTAAAAGTCAACACTTTTATTTAAGTGACTTAACATATCGGATAAGATTTTAGTTAATTAAAATGACATCGTATGCGACATTTTTATCCGACAAACACTTACCGAATAAGAGTTGTCGCTCTCACTATCCGGTAAGACTTGATTATTGTCATCGCTCTTACCGAGTAACATTCACAATATTTATCATATTAATCCGATAAGGTAAAATGATCCGATAAGCACTTACCGGTTAAAATATTTAGCAAACGACCCCTAAGTGGTCAACTTTAAAAAATAGATAACTAAATTTTCAAATCTACCCTTAATCAGTGCACAAACAATTAGGAGTTAATAAGATAGATGCATTAATTATAGGTAAGGTTGTTATTTGGTTAAACTAAAACTATAGTAACTGTTAAGGTCTAAAACTATGTCATTTTTATTGTAAACCCTTATTTTGGGGCGCATGGAAAAATCATTGGTGAATGTCGAAAATTAAGGGGCCTTTGTTTGATGGAATGATTTAGAGGGATTTGGATTTAGGGGTTGTTTACCTAAATGTTTATCCAGTAAGTGTTTACTGATATGAGTCAACACTATAATTTATTTTTATGTGTAAGATTTTAGTACATCAAAACGTATTGAATGCAACAATTTACCTGATAAGAGTCATCATCTTCACTTACCTAGTAAGATTCTTCATCATTCTCATTGCTCTTATCCGATAAGATTCTTGGCCTTTATCATGTTCATCAAATGAGAATTTTTTTTCCGGTAAGCACTTGTCAAATAAGCATTTAGTAAACGACCCCTTAATTGAAGGATTTTATATAGTAGGGATTTAGATTTGAAATCTTGATGTATTTAATTTGTAGGATTTAAAATGGAATTGAATTCCATTATTTATAAAAGATATATAATTTTTTTAATAAATATCTATAAAAATAATTAAATTACCTTTTTATCAATTCCTCATTACAAAACAAATAATTAAAAATAATCATACAAAATCCCATGGGATTTCAAAATCCTATTGTTTATGAAATTTCAACGAATTCTATGATTTCAAGTCCATGAAATCCTTCGAACCAAACATGCGATTAACATAGAATTTAATTCCAAATCCCTCTAAATTCAAACCGATGCTGCGGTTTGCATTTACAAGCTGCAGTCCTTCATCTTTCACCCAAATTGAAATGAAGCCCGTAAAAATTTAAAAAGAACTCGATATTTAAGAGAGCACACACAATACAATAAATCAAAGTTTTCTAAAACACTAATCTTCATATGATTTCTTATAATCTAAACGTTTCTTTATATAAAAAGTTATGGCACATCATGATCAAGAATCCAACGGATAAATGGTATCAAAGACGATCCTAGCAAATACATGCCTCACTTCCTGGAGACTTCCAATGGCTAACAACTCATAATCAATCTTCCCACCTTGCTTTGCCACAAATCTGGCTTCCTTACCTTGATTCACACATTCAAATATCTTACCAGCCTTCAAATACAAGTGAAGTGAGAAGAAAACCTGCACAACTAGTTATAATCAGCTATACATTCTATATAACTATATAAAGGTGCTTCCAAAGTTGCTCTTTTTTTTAACCGTGAGTATCTGAACCAGCTTGCACACAACTCAACTAATCCCATGGGAACCTGAAGACAACGGCCCGAAAAATCCTCAAAGGCCCTAATGGTGCATTGATAACAGAATTGGACAGATATGAGTGACGTAGACATGTAAAAGAACCATGGAATTTTAAGGTTTTATGTTACCAAGGGTAGTTTAGTAATTTACAAATTTGTTTCATCTTCCTGACTTTTGTTAATGTGACAGAAAAAATGCATTTATGCCACACTCGGCAATTGTTGCACCAAACGTAGGACTACAAGTTTTTGTACTATCCTATCCTACCCTATCCGCAGCCCTAGAATCTCAGGGTGGGCTACGGATAAGAAATTGGGGTTTTCCAACAAATTTTATCCATTTTGCTCAGTTGGGGAGCGGATGGTACCCTTGAGCAAAGGCAAGGTAAGAATAACAAGGGTGGTGCCTGATTGGTTTAAGCTTGACTCCAAAGGTCAAAAGTACCAGGAGATCCCAGGTTCAAATCCAAGGAGAAATAAAAATCCCCTTATGGCCACGGAGGTTCAAATGTGGTGACTCCGGGCTATCTGAAAAGCAGGTGGTTGCCCTGGGATTAATCGGCTTACATAGCAGGTTGGATATCCAGGTTAATCAAAAAAAAAAAAAAAACTCTTCCAGGGACCAATAGCACGTATAGCAAACGCCCCCTGAGGAGGCATGAACCGGAAACAATTGGGGACGAGCCCCAAAGCTAGCCTCTATTTACCGGTTGAGCCGACCCTCAAAGTTGACCACGTGTCAACTATGAAGCACCCACATTGTAGTGCAAAATTAAATCTCATTAAAAGAACACACGAATTTTGAGATGAGGTTGACACATAGGGTGGAAATAGTAACCAAGTGCGATGTAAAGGTATTGAGTTGGTCGAGCACGTACCAGATCAGAATACGGTGCTTTGGGGTAGTTACTCATTGCGTGTGAGACGTAATATGTATCGGTCATGTTAGACAGTGCCTTACTAACCGATGCACCAAGATCCAAGACCTCCTTTTTCAGCGTCGTCTTCTCGAGGCTCTGTGGCTCCGATAATTCGTAGTACATTTTAGCATGTGGTTTGTAAATCCTTCTAGCTATGCCAACAGCCTCCTTCATATCTCCTCCATTGTGGACCGCAAGGCTAAATGCAGCAACCACTAACGGGTCCCTTGGTCGATCTAATAACGCCATATGAAATGCTAAAATTGCCACCCTAGAAGCACGTATATGTACATTTGTCATTGGAATAAAAAACACGGATACAATGGAAATGGCACTTGATAATCCCGATAGCTAACAGACGTGTACCGACAAAAACTTACCATAAGCTAGTATGACATGGTCGGTCTGGTGCTAGAAGCTTATCCATGTTTGAAAACAACGACTGCAATTTTAAAAAAATAGGACGCATCAGTTCGATCATTGCTTTCTACATTTTGCAAACTAACGAGGATGCAACGAAACCAAAGATGAAAAAGAAAAACTGAACTTCGAAAGAAGGTAAGCATGAAATGGGGTGCGTTTGGTAGGCAGACCAAACATAATAGGACTGAACGGATGAGAGTGAGGTAAGCAGGTGACAAAATTGTGCATGGTTTTAGGGTTTCCATTAGACATGGTAGTTTAGTGATTTACCACATTTTCCTTAATTTTGTCCCACCTATTTTGGTGGATTAAAAATATCATTTTTGTCCCACTCAGTTCAGTTTTATCTCAGTCTTAATGTCGCATCAAACAAGTTTTTATTTTGTCAAATGTCGTGTACCAAACGCACCATAATAGAACCAAATAATACGCCTTCCGTCCCAAAACAAGTGTCTACATTATTATTTTAGTTTGTCCCAAAACAAGTATCCACTTTCAAAAGTAAATCTCTACTTTCCCATTCTACACTCTAACTCTGAGATGGAGAAAATTTCTCAATATAAAATACGGGTAAAATTGTCCTTTTGTTAATTACACATTGCGAAAACTGTCTTTTTCATTATGGACATTTATTCTGGGACGGAGGGTGTAACAAGTAAAAATAAGAGGCCTAAGCTTATCTGCTAATGACTCGTTTTAGAAAAGCTCTCCATAAGTTGGTTGTAGCTAAGCTTACCAAGAGCATGTTAGACTTCTTGTCCCGTCTCCTAAAACCATCACGAACAAAATATGCCGCCTGAAATATGTGAACATGTCAAGATATGCATAAACCGACTAAAGTAGGTGACAAATTTTACCTGAATTGGTAAGAGCAATTCCAAGATACCAAATCTCCATAATAACCTCAATGAAGGTTCTGCAGAACCATAAGCTAGCATGTAGTTCATTTCCATAAGATGCCTCCCCTTTAAGCATACAACCCCAGTCAAATCATAAGATTAATTTCCCGAATTGTTCTTTCAAAGGTGGATCGAAAGATGCAGTTAGAACGGGTAGAAAAAATTATTTAAATACCTTATCAAGCAGTAGAACAGAGTGTGCAAGGTGTTTTATTGCATGAGCCGTCTCTCTGGAAAAACCAAACCCCAAACGAGCAGCAATCCTAATGGCACGCAGTATGCGAGCTGCAAAAGAGGATAAGCTTTGGGATGCATAATAAGGGAAATAATTATGCACAAAACATACTCCCTCCGTCTCAAAATAAGTGTAACAACCCAAAGACCAAAGCAACAGGTTGGCTCAATAACTTCGAATCCAACTTACAACCATGGTGAAAGTTATTGGTAGCCCACAACTTATGGCTTATAAGGAGCTCACAATCCCATTCCCCATCCATGTGGAATGAGTTGTTATAATAAGTGTCTACATTCTATTTTAGTTTGTCAAAAAATAAGTGTCCACTTCTAAAAGTAGATGTCTACTTTCCCATTCTACCCTTAATATGAGATTGAGAAAATTCTCTAGTTATGATTAAGGGTAAAATTGTCCTTTTGTTAATTAAAAAGTGTAATAACTACAGATTCCTAAAATTCTGCAACTTTCTTATTGTGGACATCTATTTTTGGATGGAGGGAGTAATAAATTAAAATTCAAGAACTCACCACAATCCTCCGCCAATGAGAAGTTAGCAGGGTTAACAGTTCGCACCTAAGCCAAAATCAGGTTAATATGAGCATGTCCCTGCAGAGAAAAGCCTAAGGGGCAGTTTACCCGAACACTTACCCGGTACGTGTCTACTGGCAAGATTCAACACTATTACTTACCATACCGGGTAAGATTTTAGTCCATAAAAAAGGGCATCGTATGCACCAATTTACTTGGTAAAGCTAACCGGGTAAGACCTTCGATCCTTGTCATTGCTCTTACCGGTTAAGATTCTCAGTCATTTCATGTTCATCCAGTAAGGTAATGTGACTTGATATTTGATAAGCGCTTACTGGGTAAGCCTTTGGTAAACGGCCCCTAAGACCCCTCAAAGAAAGTACTATAGTGTAGAGATACATGCATACTTTAGCTTTTCTAATATCCTCCATTCCTCCTGTATAGTCGTAAATTGTATTCGCATACGGATCAAACATCAATCTGCACAACGGGTGAAAGAGAAGGTCACTTTTGCGAGAATGAAAGCAAATTCAGAAAACACCAAGAATGGAAAGATTCAGGGAGGTGAACCAATTCTAGACAATATTGGAAACATATCCATTGAAGTTTTAGGTTCCCAGGGCCAAAGCAGAAACCCGTTTATTGTTAGATCACGCTGCATACAGTTCCTCCAACGACTATAGTCCTTCTCATCACAGCCATCGTACTGTTGAAAAGCCATACCCGAGTCCCTTGTGTGGTGATGATGTCTTGCTGAAGTGCTAAAACTCGAAACCTATTCACCAGTCAAATTCATGTTTTACCAGGGTAGACATAAAGATAGGTAGCTGTTGTCAATAAGCAATATCTAGCTCAAAAAAGACCAACCTCTACAATATCATCACCAACGTGCACATGGCAAATAGGAAAACGTTTCCCGATAATCTCACACCAAGAAAAAGCTTTCGTCACCTGTGTGGTAATCACAACAATGCTTCCAAAAGTTAGCATGCAGCTTTACGTGGAAACTGCAATGTTGACATAAATTCAAGATCCTGACTCTTAGATTACTAGCTCAAAAAATCATCAACCAAACTCATTTTTGTTTCTGCGATTTTTTGAAGTTAAGAAGTAATTCTTGGATATTTCTTTGAGACATTAAAGCAAAACTCCAACCTTTCCTACAGAGATACAAAAAGGGTCATTGGCAAAGCAATACCGGTTACCTTTAGATCCAACCTCCCAGAAGGTCAAGGGTTCAAGCCTCACCGTGTGAGTCTTGCCAAATATAAAACATACTTTAAAAAAGGATCAATCCACTTCTGACTCCTTTAAACTTTACCGTGAAAATCTTATAATTATAATCGCTTTTGACAAGAGACAGAAATATCGTCTTTTTGGCAAGTAAACGAAGCCTTTGAGGCACAAAGTTTCACCCAAAAATATAAGACATCAATGAAGATTATTACGAATATCTTTCTTCATAAATAAAACTGCGCCAATAAAATATGCAGAGAAATGCTTAAATAAATAATAGACCAAAGAAAAAACAGAGTCCCTAAAGCAAATGCATTATCCATCGTATGTTCATATGCAGTAATCGTATTCAACAATGCGTAAAGCAAGTACGAGGCACTAACTGACCTCTTTCAATTCAGCTGTAGTCAATACATCAAAGTCTTTTGGTGTGCGTTTTAATATTAGATCACGTACACAACCACCAACAAGGTAAACATCAAATCCTACAAAAACCGAAGTTCTTTAAGCTTTAGATGGACCAGCCGTTTTACCAATTTTGAAACAAGAAGATATGCATGGAAATGTGTAATGCAGACAGCCACAGCCTCCACTTCAAGATTTTCTTCTGTAACAAGTTAGCAACATGCCAACATAGGGCCAATAACTAACAACATCATATCCATCTCACAATCACAGGCCACCTTTAGAATCCAAAGTTGACATGATCTTATATAACTATTTCAAATGTCGAGCGCTTTTCAAAGCACTACCCTCCCCTCCAAAAGAAGTTCATTTTCATCTTACAATTTCAACCCTAATGCTTGCAAAATCTACTTTTTATGAATTTAATATTCATAAAGTAACACTTTTCGCAAGTTGCTAAAGTGTTACTTGAGAAATGCTAACATGGAAGTGTCACTTGCGCAACTTACTAAAGTTGCTAAAGAGTTACTTGCGACAAGTAGCACCTTTTTATGAATATTTTTTTGTTGAGTAACCTGGATATCCAACTCGCTATGCGAGCCGACTAATCCCGACCACCTGCTTTGCAGATAGCCAGGAGTCACCGCATTTGAACCTCCGTGGCCACAAGGGGATTTTATTCCTCCATGGATTTGATCTTTGAGACCTCCTGGTACTTTTGACCTTTGGAGCCAACTCAAACCAATCGAGCACCACCCTTTTTATATGTCGCTCAATTGAGTAGAATGCAGCTATAAAATAAATTGGGGGAGGGGTGTTCAGGAATAGCTATTTTTGGGCAATTTCTCCAATTGTAGACATATATTACAACACAAACTACTGGCACAATTTCAGTAAGTATGGAAACATACCTTTTCTCTTGAGACCATTTAGGACTATCCGTGTAGGCCTTGCAATCATCGAATTCGTAATCCCAAGTTCCTTAGAGCTAAACTTCTTCCATTTCGATGCCATTTTCCTACCTTCCACTCCTTCAATTCGAATTTCCAAACACAATCAATCAGTCAAGATCATGATCATAACTTGACATATCAACTAATCGAAAATCCAAAAACATATCAGACAAAATTTAAACATGCCTCTTTCATCATAGATAACAGAATCATTGGAGAAGCCATCTGGCTCGTCAAGTGCTTCGATTGCTGCAACACAACTCAGCCGAACCTTCATGAACATAAAACAAAACGATCTATAAACAACTTTTAAGAACAAAAAAGAACATAACAAACGCAGAGTTCATGATATGATGATACATAGGAAACGCGACGGAGGAGAGTAGAATTGAGGCGAAAATGAGGGTGGCATGAATACCCCAAACCTAAACCAATCGCCATTTAGATATGTGATACAGATATTTCATAAACTGGTTTTTAGGGTTTTAGAAATGAAGAAGATGGGGTTTAACGCTGCGTTCTCGAAACTCATTTTACGAAAAACAAGGCAAAAAAGTTATAGTCATATCTTTTTAAAGGATATTATTAATAAAAATAACATTTTTTTCCTTCTTTTCAAGAACATAATTTTTTTTAAGAACATAAATAAAAAAATTATTTATTTCTTTTTATTTTTTAGGTGGTATTTGGAATTGTTTATCTGAAACAACTTACAATCTTATCAATTTTGTTATAAATTAAAATAGTTTAACTTTTTCAAAAACTACTTATTACCGGTTTAACATCAGTATAAATTGTTTATCCAAATATTTAAAAATATTTATTATCAGTATAACACCGAAATAAATCAATAAGTTGTTTTAATAAGTAATCTCAAATACGCTCTCATTCTTCAAATTCAAGATCAGAGCATAAGTTAATGAACAAATGAATGGCGGTGAGCCGAGATATAATTTTACATTTTGTAAATTACGTTTTTTGTCCCTATACTTTATAAAATTTTGCAAGTATCATTTATGTGGTCTAGAAATTATAGTTTTCTTCCCTACGGTTTATAACTTGTTATTTTCGTCTTTATAATTCATAATTATTTGCTGTTTTAATCTTATATAAATAGAAATAAATTGTAAATTACAGAAGCAACAATTTTAGATTTTATAAAATCGAAATTATTAACAAAGCATAAAGGAAAAAACCGTGTTTTACTCTTTCCTTTCACCTTTTGGGTTTTTTCTCTTGGGGTTTTTCCTGGGCCCTTCTGATAAATGGATTGAGATGTTGGGTATGGGCTGCTCAAATTTATGTATGTAATTCTTTTCTCAGATATAGTCGGTGTTTAGTGTGTATTGTGTATATAAAATTTTATATCAGGTATCAACCAATTGTATTTGGTATTAATTTTATATATATTGGTATTGATTTTTGTAATACACGGATTTTTAATATCCATAATTTCAAGTTTCATATGTATTTTGGCCTTAATATAGTCATCTAGAAGTATTGTGGATGTTGGTTGAGTTGGTTACCGCATTTCACAAAGGATTCAACTTTTTTGTCGAAAATTGCACTCGCACCCGTGCAGCTATTTTGCTCGCGGCCTTGAGCAAACCCCAAAAAGTGGCATAACTATATTAATCACTGTTCGCTCCCGCGAGCATTTGGGCATAAAGTTGTTGGGTCTGCAACCCCTTTAAATATGATTTTCTTCCTTCTTTTTCTTCATTTCTTCTTCACCAACTCACCTCTCTCTTTCTCTATCTCTCTCTCTCTCTCTCTCACACACACACACACACATTTTCGGTCCAAGAACATTCCTCCTCCAAATTGATTTCTTCAAGAGCATATAAGAGCTCCTAAATATCAAGATTCCAAGTCCAGATCCAAGATCTGAGTTCATCTTCTTCATCTCCATGTCCACCATTGTTGACCTAATTTTTGGGTTATTCCTAAAAACGATTTTAAGTCATCCTAACCTTTCTAAACCCGTATTCTTCTTAAAAGCTTTTGTTTTAACCTCCTTGAACATCCTTTTTGGTGTATCTTCATTATATTGAGTTTTTGATCATTTTGGGTGTTCTTGGTGATTTGAGATTTTGACTAAGGATTGTATGGATGTAATTTTGGGGTTACTTTTGGTACATCTCTAGTCTTGGTTAAGACTCAGATAAAGTTCCTAGAGGTGAGTGTTGACAGATCTAAAGCCTTCACTATTTTGGAAGCTATAGATGGATTTGGAACCTAGGTTTAACCTAGCATAGTAAGGTGAATTCAAGTTGTTTGCGAAAACTATGTACATGCCAAAAATGTGTAATTTCGATATATTGAAGTGTGTTCCTTACTATTTATCAAATGTGTTGAGTATTTATACTGAAATGTTTTCCTTACTAGTTGTTTTTGGGTTAATATATCTTGAAAATGCATATATTTAGAATCTTTGAATATTTTGTTAAATAAATCATAAGTATGAGTTCTTCTGATGATTTATCTCATAAATGGGGATTATTTGATGTTATATGCATTTTGGTGTAGTTGGTTTTATAAACAGTTTGGAAAATTAACATTTTTGTGTTATGAGGCATTATGAAAATACAAATAGTATGATTTCTTTTTGAAAAGAATTTATCCCAACTGAGTTGGGTTTTACGAGTAAATCATACTTTTGGAGCATGTGTTTACGTAGACGTGGGTTAAATGCGTTTTATTGTTTTTGATGACTTTTATTTATTAGTCAATTGAATTGTTGAACTTTTGGCTCAGTTTTGACTTAAATGAGTCTTGGAGATGTTATCCGACTTGAATGGCTCTATATTGAGCTTTTGGAGTTATATGCATTCACAACATATTTATTTATAGAATTACATGTTTCGAGTGTATTGGTCATTCATTTAGAGTCATGTAACTTAGACTTTGATGCATTGGATCCATAGGCATGCGAGTCAGTCTCGTGTGATGGTTGTAAGTGTATTGCGGGGTTAAACTCCGGGTCCCTTGTTTGATGATCTTAAACTTTTCAAGAAGTCACTAGGAGGGTTGAGTCCGGATGTGCATGTCTTGGTGACACACCAGGATCTTCGCCGCTTGATGGTGTTCCCTTTTTAGGTAGACACTAAGTAGGCCGACCCTTGAGGTTGAATTCTAAGCACAGACACTAAAGTCAACCGACTCTTGAGGTGCAACTTGTTAAGGAGTCGTACGAACGTTCGAACTTTAAGTCATGAAGTGTTATGCGATTAACGTTGTATGAGTGGCATCCTTTGTGTTCACGTCACTTTCAAGGGATACGAGTCTCCCTCGTTGTTGTAAACATTGTCTTTGGATAATGTATTATCCATGTTTTAATATTACTCGGATTTTGGCAAGCAACCGTAATTTACAATTTTGATATATTGGATTTCCTCTATATATTAAGGTTTTGAATAAAAAGATTATATCCATGTTTTTGGTATTTGGATTTCAATCATATTTCTAGAATTCGTGTGAGTATTGGGTTTGGTTCCACAGTTATTTTATCACGAAAATGGAGGTTATGGGAAAAGATATCACCTTTTATTCTAAATGCATTTCATGTATGAAATTGTGATTTAAATAATAACTTTTCCATTTTACCACTTTATATAATTGATGAAAACTGCTTAAACTCACTTGGCGTTAAACCTAACATTTTTACTTTTGTTAACATACACATCAGATCCTTGTTGGGATTTGGTCCTAGTGACACTATGATTGAGTGTTTGTTAGAGACACAAAGAGGAATTAGTTATTCGGGAGACATCATCCTTATATTGGAGATAGCGTACGTCTTGTGATTCAAAATTAATAAATAATTAAACAAGTCATGTACCGTGGTACTACCATGATACATGACTTCCAATACTGTGTAACAACCAAGTTTGCATACATGGTATAATACTATCAACCGATTATAATTGATACAATTAGTAAATATGTTGGATGGTTTGATTTGATACAAAATTATCACCTGTACTGATGATTAATAGTTATTATTGTATATGAAATTACAGTAACTTTTTTATTTATTATATATTATTTTTTTAGCACTATTATAGTTATTATTGTTTTTGACAAATATTATTACTTTATTAGCTATTTGTTGATAGAAAACTGTGGGAAAAATAGAATTTGGGCCAAAGCCCATAAATATCGCAGGCTATGGGCTTATTTTATGGGCTTATATGGACCCATCGTAGTTAATATGATGAGATGAACTATGAACTTATGAAGTAGGCAATACAAACCCTGTGTCTACTAGAGTAATGCTTGAAAATACAAGGAGACCTTTCTTACCATGGAAGGTAAGAGCGAATCTGATAGCTCTAAAGTGGATATGTGTGTATCTTTGAGCCATGTGTTTGAGAAAGTATGGTGAAAGGGACAGTGTCACTAAGTGTTTTTCAATAAAAATAGATAAATGAAGTTATTAGTTTTGTTATTTTATATATTTATTAAGTATATTTATCTTTTTATAATTATATTCACTATTCTATTTTCAATCAATTATTTATCTACCAATTGTTTTTTTTTTTTGCCAAATCTACCGAATTAATTTTAAAATCATGATGTTTTAATAGGTCAATAAATCAAAAGAAACCAACTACTTTGAACAAAAACACAATATTGTATGTAGGGAGAGTCTCATTTAAGAACAATGATAAGTATTTGAGAAGTAAAAAAGTAATCCTAGGCTTTCGTACGGTCAAAATTGGTCATGAATTGCTGCTTTGACTGGTCAAACGAAAAATAGAAGGGCAGTTTCGTAACTTTTATAAATAAGCGACAAACAAGTGCATATGTGAACATATAGTTCATATATGAATAAGTTAATTAGTTTATATGTGACTAAGTTAATTAGTTCATATGTGAAATTAATTAAATAGTTCATATGTGAATCACACGGGTTCACATATACACTAATTTTGCCACTAATTTGTAAAATTATGAAACTATCCTCTATCTTCTGCATACCATGCGATGAATTATCTGGTACTTCACAGTTAAAGCCGCAAATCTTGACCAGATAAAGGGCTAGGATTACTTATCTACTTCTCAAATACTTACGTTCTCAAATGAACCTATTGCTATATATATAAATACCAAATATATCAAAGTAGGATATATGTAAAGTGTTCCTCTGCATTAAAAAAGCAAATAAGTTGTTTCTATAAAGATAATTAGCTCGTGAAAAAAAGTTTTGAGAAAAATGAAACAATCATAAAATTTGACAATTTTTTAACAGTTTCGAGGGTTCTCAAAAAGAATTGGAGAACATAAGTCACGAAAATACATCCGGAACAAACAAACAGTACGAATAATAACTTCATAACAATTTAGGCCTTATTTGTTAACAAAATCCTCATAATAGGCTCTTTGTCATCTATTCGGCAAGAAGTTAACCAATTCAAATTATTTGTTTTGCTAATGTCATATCGGTACCTTTTGTTGATGTGACAGTGAATAATATAAAAAATTGTTTTATGTCGCATCAATGTTTT